GAAGTTGTCCCTGTACCAAAATGTTCGCCACCCAAAGTAGTTGAACAAGATCCTCGGCCTATTTCTCTCACGCCCCATATTGCAAAAGTCATGGAAGGGCTTACGCTGGATTCCCTCTTGAAGCAAGTCTGTGACAAGCTCGACACCCACCAGTTTGCCCTGGCCGGGAAGTCCACAACTGACGCTCTTGTTTTCTTCCTCCAAGTCATCCTTGAGGCCCTTGACCAAGGTGACACTTATGCACACATCTTCTTTACTGATTTCACTAAAGGTTTTGATTTAGTCGATCACAATATCTTTATCCAAGAAATGGAGCTGCTGGGCGTGCATGAGGCCACTATCAGATGGATCGGCTCTTTATTAACGGACCGTTCACAAAGAGTGCGAATTGGTCAGGTTTATTCGCATCCAGTTACACCGAATGGGGGAATACCACAAGGAACAAAACTCGCGCCATTGCTGTTCGCCATATCAGTGAACAATCTGTGTAGGGACTGGAGATATAGGATTAAATACGTTGATGACACCTCGGTATTTGAATCTATTCCTCGATGTTTGCCTAGCTACCTTCCATTTATGGCCAATAATATTAACACCTACGCTTCCATGCGTAACATGCGGCTTAATGAGAAAAAATGTAAAGATAGCGATATCAATTTTTTGAAGTAACCCACTGCTATAACACCGATTCAGCTTAATGGTATAGTCATTGATAGAGTATCTAGTTATAAACTCTTGTGGGTTATTATCTCTAATGACCTCTCTTGGAACGAACATCATGAGAGTATCCATAAAAAAGCTACTGCGGACCCTCAAGAGAGTTGGACTGGGCACTAACGATCTCGTATTAGTCTACTGTAGTATTGTTAGATCCATTGTTGAGTACGCCTTGCCAGTTTGGGCTGCGATCCCCTTTATATCTGGACGAGTTAATTGAGTCTGTACAGCAGAAAGCTCTCAAAATAATATTTGGCCGGGTAGACTATACGGAAGCCTTGGTCTTGGCCGGCCTGGAGTCTCTTTGTGACAGGAGAGTAGGAGCTTGTAAGCAGTTTATGGCTACTGCACGCCAAATGCCCCCCCCCCACCCCCCCTTAAGAACATCATCCCCTCCCCTGCCGCTATTGAGTCTCATTACAGTATAAGGGTCCAACTTCCAAGACGTCAACATGGTCATACCAGAAGAATTAATGACTTTGTTACTGCAAGTGGGTGAAATAAACAGAATATCTATCTATCTAAGTGTTGTTTTACAGAAAGAGAGAAATTATGTTTTTGAACGAAACGCGACCGTTTAGGTTTAAAGCATGAAATTACCACATTTTCTTGACTCAAGTCAGCTAAAAGAACCTTATCACAAGTTGAAATTTGTTGATGTCTCTATTACTGTTATTAGTGAACTTACGCTACAGGACGGGAGAGGGAAGAAGATGGAAAACATTGTTTGACAAGCGTGACAAAAACAATTTACCTCAAACCTCCTCCTCCTTTTAAGGTGGCTCCGTCATTGATACTGGAGCATTTAGCTGTGACACATTTTCCGTCATAACTTTTTCGTTTTTAACTTGATGGCTGCGAAACTTTGCAAAGAAGAACAGATATCATTCGGCAATAGTACGAAATATTCCGATTTCATTGGTGGTAAATGTTTCTTGAGAAATGAGCGCTTACAGGGACCTTACTGTTCAAAGAAAATCGCGTCTAGTAAAAAATTTTGCTGATACTTTCTACTGACATTTCTGGAATCGGCTTTTATTGATACTGTAATAAATATGCCAGAGAAATTTCAAAAAAATCCTTAGAGCAGAAGTCCATGACTAAACGCCGCTCAAAATTCAGCTGTGAAATTGCTTTGAAATTTCAAAAATAAATTACTATTAGGTAGAAGGAGCCACCAGTTCGAATTTTCGGGACAAGTAAATTCAGTGTTTGCTTATTCTTAAAACAAAAGCTGATTGCCTATATATCGTGCTATTCTTTAAAAGGTACTTTTAAACAAAACGCAGTAAGGTAGGGAAAGGAGACATATACGTTGTACTTCGCATTGGCGCAAAATTAACCATTTCAGGGAAAATCAACGAGAGACTCTAGTTAGGGCTAAAAGAAAGTGAAATTTAGCCGATCCCCCCCGTTGAATGTTACTTCACTGGAGTGATCCCCCCTAATAATATTTGATGACTTTCGTGATCCCCCCCCCTCCCCCATTGTCTTCATTTTCCAAGCAAATTTGAGTTTTCCTCCCTCTGAATCCTTCCAACGTTTTCAGCGATCCCCCCTTTTGTTTGGGTTCTCAGTTACGACTGATCCCCCTTTTTGTTCTCCTAAAAATCAAGTGATCTCCCAAAATCCTACGCCCCCCTCCCCCCTCTCCAGGCGATAAATGATGACCGATCCCTTAACAAGGTTACTCCCAACTGGCTAGATATAAACCAGCTGCCTATTTATAAGTGTGGCCGAGGATTTGAACCCTGGACTATCGCGAACAAATCCAGCTGGCGGTCATGGCTGGACTTGAACTCGGGGTCTCCAAATTGCAAGTCCAGCGCTCTAATGGCTCAATCACGCTGCCCCCTGTCGTTGATTTTCTGGGAAACTGCACACCTACCCCTCCCCTAAAACAACATGAACACTTACCTCTCACTTAGGGCAAAATGTTGGCTCAGGGGAGGGGTGGGTGGGCAGTTTCTTAGAAACGTGTAATGATCCGATGTTTTTGCTGTTAGTGACCTTTAATTCGAGGACGGGAACAACTACGACTACAGGGACGAGAGTAAAAGGGTGAAATAAGGGGATGACTTGAAATAAGGGGAAAAAGAACAGAAATGATGGAAATACACATTGATTTTTACTTTTCGATTGATAGGGTACTCTACGCATACTTCCTCACGGACAACATCAACCATCACTGGCCCAGGTAAGGTATAAAAGAAGCAGGTTTGAAATCTACAAATGTCTGATTCTTGTAAGAGGCAAACTCTCCCGAGCTTTTCGAAGCCATATTCTCAAACCAAGAAATGATTACAGGGTCCCTTTCTTAAGTCGTACTCCGTCAGTATCGTACTCAGTCGTACTTATGCAGTTGTACGTCAGTCGTACTCAGTCGTATCGTATACGGAGAGTACACAAAGCTATGTATAACGATGCTGAGGAGTGTGTGTGTGTGTGTTTGTAAGAGGGGGGGGGGGTGTTATCGTCGGAAACACACACACTCCTTTTTTTTAGGATTCTGTTTCATTAAAACAAAATCTCTAAAATTCAGTCTGCATATCAACACAAATTCTTCGATATCCACACAAATTCTGCAATTCAATGACTAGAATCACACGTTTTGAAAGTGAATTTTGTGTATAAGATATGTACAGACTTAAAACACAAATTTGGCCCCAGAAACCAAAGAAACCCTGGCGAAATCGCCTCTTAAATCTGTTAAAGCAACACTAGTAAAAACCCGAATATAAGAACCTACAGGCTGAAATGTGGCATTTAAATACCCAAAAATATGGGAACCCGTTTAGCCTGGCAAAGAAATATAGGTTCTTATACAAAAAAAATCACTCCAATTTTGATGGTCAAAAAAAAAACGGGTCCACCTTTTGAAGTGGACCACTTTTCCTGGTCGGACTGGTTGGGATTTTGGTTGAATGGATCGCGCCCAACAACTCTGCACGTGCATCACGCTTTTTTGTGCATTTCTTTGCAGTCCCTGTATATTTACGCCTGAACTCGGGCGCGGGCCCTTCTCTTCAGCTCCAACCCTAAATCCCTTCTTTTAAGCAATTGCTGGGCCCCTTGGAATAATCACGAAAAAAAGGGAAAGGATGTGAAGTCTATTTTTCAGCGACGTTTTCATGGACGTGGCTGTTGTCGGATCGTAAGGTCCCCAAAATGAAGTCTGGACGAATGTCTGTTACAAGCGATTTCGTCTCCTATTTACTGAGGACTTTAATCAATGGACCTGTTGCAATAAATCGTCACATGGTACAAAATAGGGACGTTTTGAAGAGGGGGACCGTAAAAACACACACGACATTGAACAGTTTTCTATATCATTCTGAAGTTGGACGCGGTTCCCGAAAGTCCCCGTGGGTTTCTGATTACTCAGTTTCTTGCAATAAAGCTTTGGGTAAGAATACCCTTTGAGATAGGAGATAGTCGGTAGCATTTTAAGGTTAAATTTGACCAGCATTTTGTGCAGCGAGTTGTAGGGTCACGATTGACCTCAAACTCGCAGGATATAAAACTAGACAGCTCTGAGGTTTATCTGCTGAATTAAGGAAAAAACCTGTCGTAGGATTTTGAAAGTATGTACATTTTTGTGGAAATTCGGTTTTAAATGTATGCCGATATCTCAAACGTGTTTATACCTACAAAAAATAAATAACGATTGACCTTAAAGTCGCCGGATATAAAACTAGAGAGCTCTAAGGTTTATCTCTTGAAGTTAGGGAAAAATCTGTAGTAGGAGTTTAAAAGTATGTACATTTTTGTGGAAATGCGGTTTTAAATACAGCTATATCGAGAAAGGTTGTGGGAGAAATTGTGCACGCGACAATCCCGAAAGGTAATATGGGATGCGATCAATTCACTGTTCCTGACACTGTAGCTGTCGAACCTACTTTTGTTACTTTCTTTTAGCATTCGCAAATATTTGATATCCATGGCCTCCAGTGCCATTCTCAAATTTCTTTGAAGAACAGTGAACTCAAAACCACCCACAATACCTTTCGGGATTGTCGCGTGCACGTTTTCCGACAACCTCTCTCGAAATAGCTCTATATGCCGATCTCAAACGTGTTTATACCTACAGAAAGTAAACAACGTTTTCTTAAAGTTCTTCTATTCTTTATTAACGACGTCAAAAATCATAGAAATCGGATAACTCGTTCCTGCTGAAAAACGCGATTCAAAAACATAAGTAACTCTCATATAAGAAAAAAAAAATTAGTAGCCACGGGTTCCTGAGCATTACTCATATCCTCTGAACCGACTCTCTTTTTTAGCAACTGGGAAATATTCAGTTGTTGTGAGTGGCAAAGGCAAGGCAAGTGTCGGCGACAGGGCGAAGATGACAGTTTACGGAGTGCGAAGAAGAGGTAGGAATTGAAAATAAGCAGCGGATGCTCTTGTTATTAGGGACTTTAAGATCCAACGTCGCGGACGGTAACGAGAACGTCAAAAAAACAATAGGTCTTATTAGCAAAACAACAACTTTGCACGTGCACCATGCTTTTTTGTACATTTCTCTGCCCGTTTTTGCACGACCACGACGTGAACATGCCCATTTTCGCGTTTTATGGAGGACGTAAACAAGCAACGACGAAATTTTATTTCTCTTACTGTACTTGGATATGGTGCCTAGGAATTCAACTCCAGGAGGGTTCGCCTACATTTGACAAAGTGAGTGGGTAACAATAATTGCGATAAAGACTGAGAGAACGCAAATTCATTTTTTAAGCGACGTTCTCATTGCCGTCGCGTCGTTGGATCTTAAAGACCCTTTTAGCGGAGCTCTCGCGCGCGATGCGCGCGCAACGGAGCCCCATGGGTAAGAAAATGTGGTAATCTAAACCCATCCGAGAAAATTTGGTAATCAAGTGACCGTACGTCCGACCGTCTGTCCGCGTCACAGGCATACCAATGTAAAATAACTCAATCAACAGGTATGGCAACCCAAATGCAACTCGAGGTTATTTTGGCGGGAAATCGAATAGCCACCAGCGTCTTGTAAAGCAGAGGCAACTAAGGATTCAATAAAGACGAAAACGGAAAGCGGAATTGTTTCTGTATCCGTGTTTTCTAAAGTATTAAGCTTAGATTAATTGTCATGCCCGCAAATTTGGAATATAGAGCAAGAGAAAGACAGAAAAAGAGAAAGTAGGCGGCAGGCCAGCGAAACTCAACGAGGAAAGGATCGACAGAGATCTGGAGTGAGAGATAAAAAGCAAAGGAGACTTTTGTTTTACGTCCCTGTGTTTCTTAAGCAATCCGAAGTTGTCCCTGTACCAAAATGTTCGCCACCCAAAGTAGTTGAACAAGATCCTCGGCCTATTTCTCTCACGCCCCATATTGCAAAAGTCATGGAAGGGCTTACGCTGGATTCCCTCTTGAAGCAAGTCTGTGACAAGCTCGACACCCACCAGTTTGCCCTGGCCGGGAAGTCCACAACTGACGCTCTTGTTTTCTTCCTCCAAGTCATCCTTGAGGCCCTTGACCAAGGTGACACTTATGCACACATCTTCTTTACTGATTTCACTAAAGGTTTTGATTTAGTCGATCACAATATCTTTATCCAAGAAATGGAGCTGCTGGGCGTGCATGAGGCCACTATCAGATGGATCGGCTCTTTATTAACGGACCGTTCACAAAGAGTGCGAATTGGTCAGGTTTATTCGCATCCAGTTACACCGAATGGGGGAATACCACAAGGAACAAAACTCGCGCCATTGCTGTTCGCCATATCAGTGAACAATCTGTGTAGGGACTGGAGATATAGGATTAAATACGTTGATGACACCTCGGTATTTGAATCTATTCCTCGATGTTTGCCTAGCTACCTTCCATTTATGGCCAATAATATTAACACCTACGCTTCCATGCGTAACATGCGGCTTAATGAGAAAAAATGTAAAGATAGCGATATCAATTTTTTGAAGTAACCCACTGCTATAACACCGATTCAGCTTAATGGTATAGTCATTGATAGAGTATCTAGTTATAAACTCTTGTGGGTTATTATCTCTAATGACCTCTCTTGGAACGAACATCATGAGAGTATCCATAAAAAAGCTACTGCGGACCCTCAAGAGAGTTGGACTGGGCACTAACGATCTCGTATTAGTCTACTGTAGTATTGTTAGATCCATTGTTGAGTACGCCTTGCCAGTTTGGGCTGCGATCCCCTTTATATCTGGACGAGTTAATTGAGTCTGTACAGCAGAAAGCTCTCAAAATAATATTTGGCCGGGTAGACTATACGGAAGCCTTGGTCTTGGCCGGCCTGGAGTCTCTTTGTGACAGGAGAGTAGGAGCTTGTAAGCAGTTTATGGCTACTGCACGCCAAATGCCCCCCCCCCACCCCCCCTTAAGAACATCATCCCCTCCCCTGCCGCTATTGAGTCTCATTACAGTATAAGGGTCCAACTTCCAAGACGTCAACATGGTCATACCAGAAGAATTAATGACTTTGTTACTGCAAGTGGGTGAAATAAACAGAATATCTATCTATCTAAGTGTTGTTTTACAGAAAGAGAGAAATTATGTTTTTGAACGAAACGCGACCGTTTAGGTTTAAAGCATGAAATTACCACATTTTCTTGACTCAAGTCAGCTAAAAGAACCTTATCACAAGTTGAAATTTGTTGATGTCTCTATTACTGTTATTAGTGAACTTACGCTACAGGACGGGAGAGGGAAGAAGATGGAAAACATTGTTTGACAAGCGTGACAAAAACAATTTACCTCAAACCTCCTCCTCCTTTTAAGGTGGCTCCGTCATTGATACTGGAGCATTTAGCTGTGACACATTTTCCGTCATAACTTTTTCGTTTTTAACTTGATGGCTGCGAAACTTTGCAAAGAAGAACAGATATCATTCGGCAATAGTACGAAATATTCCGATTTCATTGGTGGTAAATGTTTCTTGAGAAATGAGCGCTTACAGGGACCTTACTGTTCAAAGAAAATCGCGTCTAGTAAAAAATTTTGCTGATACTTTCTACTGACATTTCTGGAATCGGCTTTTATTGATACTGTAATAAATATGCCAGAGAAATTTCAAAAAAATCCTTAGAGCAGAAGTCCATGACTAAACGCCGCTCAAAATTCAGCTGTGAAATTGCTTTGAAATTTCAAAAATAAATTACTATTAGGTAGAAGGAGCCACCAGTTCGAATTTTCGGGACAAGTAAATTCAGTGTTTGCTTATTCTTAAAACAAAAGCTGATTGCCTATATATCGTGCTATTCTTTAAAAGGTACTTTTAAACAAAACGCAGTAAGGTAGGGAAAGGAGACATATACGTTGTACTTCGCATTGGCGCAAAATTAACCATTTCAGGGAAAATCAACGAGAGACTCTAGTTAGGGCTAAAAGAAAGTGAAATTTAGCCGATTCCCCCCGTTGAATGTTACTTCACTGGAGTGATCCCCCCTAATAATATTTGATGACTTTCGTGATCCCCCCCCCTCCCCCATTGTCTTCATTTTCCAAGCAAATTTGAGTTTTCCTCCCTCTGAATCCTTCCAACGTTTTCAGCGATCCCCCCTTTTGTTTGGGTTCTCAGTTACGACTGATCCCCCTTTTTGTTCTCCTAAAAATCAAGTGATCTCCCAAAATCCTACGCCCCCCTCCCCCCTCTCCAGGCGATAAATGATGACCGATCCCTTAACAAGGTTACTCCCAACTGGCTAGATATAAACCAGCTGCCTATTTATAAGTGTGGCCGAGGATTTGAACCCTGGACTATCGCGAACAAATCCAGCTGGCGGTCATGGCTGGACTTGAACTCGGGGTCTCCAAATTGCAAGTCCAGCGCTCTAATGGCTCAATCACGCTGCCCCCTGTCGTTGATTTTCTGGGAAACTGCACACCTACCCCTCCCCTAAAACAACATGAACACTTACCTCTCACTTAGGGCAAAATGTTGGCTCAGGGGAGGGGTGGGTGGGCAGTTTCTTAGAAACGTGTAATGATCCGATGTTTTTGCTGTTAGTGACCTTTAATTCGAGGACGGGAACAACTACGACTACAGGGACGAGAGTAAAAGGGTGAAATAAGGGGATGACTTGAAATAAGGGGAAAAAGAACAGAAATGATGGAAATACACATTGATTTTTACTTTTCGATTGATAGGGTACTCTACGCATACTTCCTCACGGACAACATCAACCATCACTGGCCCAGGTAAGGTATAAAAGAAGCAGGTTTGAAATCTACAAATGTCTGATTCTTGTAAGAGGCAAACTCTCCCGAGCTTTTCGAAGCCATATTCTCAAACCAAGAAATGATTACAGGGTCCCTTTCTTAAGTCGTACTCCGTCAGTATCGTACTCAGTCGTACTTATGCAGTTGTACGTCAGTCGTACTCAGTCGTATCGTATACGGAGAGTACACAAAGCTATGTATAACGATGCTGAGGAGTGTGTGTGTGTGTGTTTGTAAGAGGGGGGGGGGGTGTTATCGTCGGAAACACACACACTCCTTTTTTTTAGGATTCTGTTTCATTAAAACAAAATCTCTAAAATTCAGTCTGCATATCAACACAAATTCTTCGATATCCACACAAATTCTGCAATTCAATGACTAGAATCACACGTTTTGAAAGTGAATTTTGTGTATAAGATATGTACAGACTTAAAACACAAATTTGGCCCCAGAAACCAAAGAAACCCTGGCGAAATCGCCTCTTAAATCTGTTAAAGCAACACTAGTAAAAACCCGAATATAAGAACCTACAGGCTGAAATGTGGCATTTAAATACCCAAAAATATGGGAACCCGTTTAGCCTGGCAAAGAAATATAGGTTCTTATACAAAAAAAATCACTCCAATTTTGATGGTCAAAAATCTGGATTTTAATTGTGTGAGAAACTTCTCACAAAAAGCTATTGTGTACATGATTTCTTTGATTTACATTTGTTTGGATTTTTACTAGAAATATGTTTTCCATAAACCATGATGTCTTACTAGTACAATATTTCTGCCAATGGTTACACTATGACAACCTCTGAAAAATAAGAACACATTAGGAATGAACCTAATCGGCCTGAATTGTGTAAAGCTACCCCAAAATGTAAGAACCTGTTTAGCCTGACCTCGAAAATTCTAGGTTCTTGTATGCCGGCTTATGCTGTATTTCAATATTTCAGCGGTCGTATTTAACTAATTTCTAACCCTTTTTTTTTTTTCAGGACAACCGCTTAAACACATTCCATCTTATGTGCTCAGCCAAGTTGTTGAGAGTCTTAACCTCCCCAGTCCACTAGGAAATGACTGGAAGGGTGTTGCCGGAGAGATGTTGTTACCATACAAGACTGTGATGAGCTTAGATCATCACAGCTCTGAAGGGATGATGCAAGGGATACTTCGAATCATGTTCGAGAAGAAATTTACAGCGGGGGACTTTGTAGATCTTTTACAGAAAATACAAAGACCTGATGTTATAGAAATTTTCATTGAAGCTGGATTCCCAAGGAACAGTATCCGTGAAAAAGAAAATGGTGAGCAGTACTTTTAAGAATTTGGAATGCAGTGAACCACATAACGCACACTAAAACTCTTAGCTGTTTCTTCTTTTCAGATTTCTTTGCGTTATGATGAGCGTAACAGGCATTATTTTTACGTATAAATAAAGCAACTTCATTGGAAGGTTGGCACTATGAACCTGACCAAGTCCAGTTATCCAAGTTGAAATGTTGGCGTGATCACTACAAAGTTGAGCCTAAGCTGTCGCATGTCTTTTCATAACTTGTACAGTTTTCTCCCCAAAAAAGGTTTACTGTCTTCTGAATGCGATGTAAACAATGATTTAGACAAGCTTTCATTCAATCTTTCATCTCTTTTTAGATGAAGAGGATTCCCACAGCTCCTCACAAAAAGTTACTATAACAACACCTCAAATTAGTAGCCTTACCACAAGAAGTGTATGCGCAAGAAACGACAAGTCATGCGATAACAAGAAGGCCAGTGAAGACAACATCCATGAAGGATGCGAAATAAGTAATGGTGCAGTCTGTCAACATTATCCGTGAAGAAGTTGTCGAGACTCAAGAAAGAAATTCAACGGGAACGGACATTGAAGCAATGTCGTTGAAAGAACATAGTCCAGTATACTCTTGTATTCATTGATAGCATGGCTAGTTTTCTACTTAACTTGAAGAAAAATTAATTGTTAGATTGAAGGAATCATTTGCGTTATCTATATAAGATTCCCACATGCTTGAACGTTTTTTTTTTCCATTTCTTTAGTCCTATCTTTTTGGTGTTGACTTGGCAACTTTGTAGTTATTAAACCTTATTTTATACTTTGTTGTATTTAACTCCCATGACCGACTACAGAAACGCCATTTTCAGAGAACTGTTAACGAAATGATTTTCAATTCATAATGCAACCCATAATAAATCTGAAGCCTGGTGTTGTTTTTCAAAGAACGACTGTTTCAGCATCACAGATATTTTTGTCACCTTTAACAAACAAATGACACAAATGTTAAGAAGTTATTACAGGTTCCCTAAGCTCACGAGTGAGAATCGTTGCCGGAATCGTCAGTTGCGCAACATAAATATAATTATAAGAGTGAGTTTGTATGGAGATTTAAGCGATTGTTATTTAGGGGTCAAAATAGTAATAAAAATACATTAGAATTTTTTTACCTTGTCTCCATGTCTAAATTTATGGTGTTTTCTTAGCATTTTTGGCGTTTCTGGGCGATTCCTTAGCGAGTTTTAGTGCTACTGTTGGAGAATTATATAATTATTTATAAAATAACTAAGGGCCTGTTTACATGGAGGTGGGGGACCCCAGGTAGGTGAGGTAACCCGCTTAGGTGGGGTAACCCGCCTGTCCATACATTCTCATTTTAATGTGATCACGTTTACATGTTAGGTGGGGTAACCCGCCACGTGGTACCTCACCTACCTGGGGTCCCCCATCTTCATGTAAACAGGCCCTAAGATAGTACGCGCGTTCTGATTGACCGAGAGGTGTGTTTGCATGGGAGTATGTAAACATAGTTGTGACGTCAAGATGTTTTGCCTTTCGCGCGCTAATCACTCAAGCACGAATTTGAAAAAGTTTTCAAGTTCAAAACTCAAAAAGTTTACTTTATTTACCCATTCCTTCGTCGGCTGAAACTTGGAACATCTTTACAAACAAGCTGTGCCAATTTTGTTTTCGCTTAAGCTGACATTTTAAGCGAGAAAAATCCGTATTTTGGTAAGCATCTTTTTGCAAAACAAGAACTGATTACACGTGCAAACCTTCGTGTACACGACTTTGCGACTGGTAAGAATTTCTCTTTTAATCAGTGCCATAACAAAGAATTTTGCGTTTTTCTGGGGAAAGTTATTTTATAAAAGCAAAAGAAAACTTTTTTCCTATCTTTGCATATCCTGATATAAACACGAGAGGGGTTGGGAGAATTCGAGACAGTTATGCAAACCCTCGACTTCGTCTCTGGTTTGCATAACTGTCGAGAATTCTCCCAACCCTTCTCGTGTTTATATCAGGCTATGCAAACACGGAAAACGTTTTCTATTGCTTAAATAACGAACAATGGCAGAACTAAAACTCACCAGAATTGCCCTGAAACGACCCAAAAAAGTTAAGAAAACACCACAAATTTAGACAAGGTAAGAAATTCTAATGTATTCTTATTGCTATTTTGACCCCTAAATAACGATCGCTTAAATCTCTATATAAACTCTTATAACATTTCTGTTACGCAACAACGATTCTCACTCGTGAGCTTGGGGTACCTGTGAGGTTATCTGCCTTTCATTATTCACTTGGTTATCCTGTTTTAATGCAAGGTTTTTTAGTTTTTTTAGTATTTTATCAATTTTAATTTTCACATTGTACAGTGCCCTATTGAAACCACTTAGTGACTTAAGCCACTTCTTGATAAAGGACTCTATCATTATTTTTATTAATATTATTATTATTATTATTATTAATTTTAATATTATAATCGTAATTATTTTAATCATTATTGTTATGGTGCATGCTTCACACGGCAGGTGTGTCAATTCCGGAAATTTCAGTCCCATCACCAGGTCGCAACAAGCCGCCTCCAAGGATCCTCGGAGGATCTTTGCTGATAGCCTGTTCCAGGCGTTCGGATAGTGGAGTGCGGCGCGAAGGAAGAGAGCGAGAGAAAAATAAGGAGGAAAAGAGGGAGAGAGGGGGGAACGCGTTCCTTCGCTCTCCCCTTCCCCCACCCCCTCGGTGTTTTTTTTCTTTCTTCTTCTCACATCTCTTTGTGGTGTCCCACGATCTGAACGCCTGGAATAGACTACTTTGCTGATCCCAGAAACACTGTTCTTTGAACTAAGTGCGGCCAACTCTATTCCAGCATTTATGTTTCTAAGGTATTCCTCCATTGTCTTCGGAATAGTACCCAGTGCTCTGATAATATTTGGGACAACTTTTACACTCTTCATCTTCCACAACTCTCATTCTCGTTCCAAAACATTAATTCAGTGTCCTTATGTTGTTTCTCGTTCACAGTGATTTCTTCGGAATGCGATACCAGAATCACAACGCAGGCCAAAGGGATCGGAGCTGCTGGGAACGAGAATCACATTTTGTTTTTGTTTCTATATTATAATAATAATAATAATAATACTCTATTTTTCGCTCATGCGCAGTGCGTTTCGACGTTGTGTTTCGGGGAATCTTTCGCTTGAAGTTTCTTCACTACGTCAGTGGCTTCCAATCCGTGCACACAAATCATTCATCGCTGCGTGCTCTGTTCAAATTTCAGCTGACCCTTTTCGACTTCATTATTCTTTTTTGCGTTTTGGCTTTTACCGCTTTTATACTGTGGGGGCACTATCTAGACCGTGAGGTGAGAAAAACAATTCTAGTAAGACATATTCATGTTTGCATTTCCACGTGATCTAAAGTCACAGATGCTCTCGTAACTTTTAGATATTTCACTTTCTCTAAGTAATCGTTTTACAAATATGTGAAGCAAAATTAGGTCACAATCAACAAGACAGATGAAAGGGTTGATTATTTTGCTACGAAATTTTTTAAGCCTCTTCAAGTAATGCATTAATGACTTTATGGTTTCGTGTTTTAATCACATTATTTAAGTTTACAGCAAAGCATCTGGAGTTTCTTCAGCAGAAAACAGTGTGTAATTTTGGAATGAGTTTTAGTTGACAGGGGTGCTACCTCCTGAATTCAGTGTCGTTGTGCTGCTGTCAGGTCTTTGAGGGTTTACTAAGACATCAGTGGAAGGGAGTTCCACTTTCGATTTCATTCGCATAATCCTTATTATGCTAATTACTCACAGTCAGTTTCTCAGAAACGAAAGTTGAATCGGGTAGATAGGTCTCAACACAAAAAATAAGCTATGCTTGACTCCATTTAATCACATGCATACAATCAGTGATGCTGAACCGAATGACTTATCAGACAACAGACAATTCATGGAGGGGGGAAAGCATTAAGATCGGTATTTCAATTAGGGCTCAGTTCATTTTTTAGGTTTCTGCGTCCGTGGTTACGAGCATTCGGTTTTCGATTTTCAACCAAATTACAAAGCGGAAAATGAAACTTATCGCAAAGAAGAATTATGTACCGGCTGCGGTTCGGTTTTTACCAACAAAAGATTATGTAACAAAAGATGTCGAGACTAATTCATTTTCCCATGGAGTAAACTACATTATATGAATACATATGCAGAGGTAAAAAGCGTTTACTCGAGATCACGCACTAGGCGATCATCGGACCAAACACTAAATAGTACAATACTATGCATAGACAGTTTCATTTGGTATACCAATGAAAGGTGTTTCGATAAAGTTTTTCAGAGGCCATATATATAGATATTTTTCAATCGCTTTAAAACTGATTTTATCCTTGTCTGATCGCCATAAAATTTTCACCAGTGATTGACTATAGATTGAAATTTGTCAAAATGTAGCTTTTAGCAAAATCGAAATTACTATGACAACAATAAACAAACAACTTTGAAATTGCTAAAAGCCGAATTTTGACTAGTACTTGTCTGTGTGAGTATTGTCAATGTTTTACATTCAAAAGATGCGATAAATTCAAAATGTAAATGTAGTAGTCATGGAGGTGTGTATAGTGCGTATTATTTTGAAAAATATTGGTATGGCCTCTGAAAAACTGTCTCGTAACACCTTAAGTGCGGTTAGAGAGGTATTTCGTGGCCGGGTTGGCTGCCTAGAATCTATTTTCAGTCATGATCGCACTTCATGACGAGTTCTAATTTCTTGTTTAAAAGAGAAACGTCAAGCGCAGTTAGGGGCGAACCATTTAGCTTTTGATGGGGGTTGGGGGGGGGATGGAAGATCGGAAAAAAAATATCCTGCAGCCTCCCAAGCAGAAAAAAAAAAAAAGTTCAATGCATGACCAGCTCTAACGAAAAAAAAATCATGAATGCATGGTGCATCCAAAAAATATTCTTACAAATCATAGACAGCCCATCCCTACGAGTAGTCTAGCCGAATGTGAGTCATTTACATACAAGCTATGCTCCTTTATTCAATAAAGCGAGGTTGTCTCAGAAACTGAGGAGTTCACTGAGTTTATCGTGTCTTTTAATAAAGGGTTAAGTTATTTAATCCTTTTTCTAGCAATGATAATCTTTTATAAAATCAATAATGATAATTATGTCATTGATATCTGACCGTTTAAATCAAAACACTTGCATTCAAGTGGCAATATGATTGATTCAAGGTCTTGTATCAATAAAATTTATTGTAATAACACTATTAAACCAGAACATTGTTTAAACAGAACGTTGTCAAATTTTGTAGCTCTAATGACATTATGATCTGAAGATGAAGTACATTAAAAATAACTTTAAATTGAATGGAGTACAGAACAAAACACAACAACACTTGGATTCTAAAATATAATTGCTGCATTGATTTAAAAAACAAGGAAACAATAAATAATAGCTAATGTTGTATCAAAATTAGATGCCATTAACATTCCTATTTATTTAAATATGTGAGTTTTTTTTACAGAAAGTGAATTACTATAAAAAATATCTTAAGAGGCGTAAAGAATACTCTATCTCTAATATGTTTTACTTTATTGTTTTTTTCTGGCATACTTGTGTGCCTTCCTCTTATTTGCATTTTTATAAACTTGACGTTTCGTATGCTGTTCAACCTACATTTTCAAAAGTGATCTTAAGTGACTGTTAAAGAAAATGGTGAGACTATATATTCAAAAATTACGAGGGGTCTGGGAATGAGATTAAGAATTTAACAGTTCTTTAACAGTATGAATACAAAAGTCAACAGCTAACAAAACACCAGCTTTTCACTGCTGATATTGACATTAAAAGCTGGCTTAAGGTCTTGAATAAACAA